AATTCTTAAACAATGCTCCTCAAGCATAACACTTCTCCCTGGCTCCTATGGGGTTAAGCCCTGAGGATCACACCCCAGTCATCTCTGGCAAACAGAGATGGGCCTGCTGGGTCCACGTTTCAGTGGCCATTCCCTCGGTGAAGCAGCTAGCCATGTCATTGCTCAGAGCCTGGAAGCCTTTAACACCCTGGGCTGCCCTCAGCCACTGAAGGCTGACGATGGCCCAGCTTATACAAGAGCTGCCTTCCAAACATTTTGTAAAACTTTCCACATTTCCCTTACCATGGGAACTCCTTATAACCCTCAAAGTCAAGGAACTGTTGAGTATGTTCACCATATGCACAAAATTCAAATATAAAGACAAAAGGGGAATCCTTCCCTACAAAATTCACACTTCCTAACAGACTTCCCTTGGCAGTATGTACTATATTAACTTTTTAAATCCTACTAGGATGAGACTACAGCAGTCAAAAGACAATTCAACCAGCTAAAGGAGAAGAGGCTGAGAAGGGTCCTTTGGAAAGATCTTCATGCTGGACAATGGAAAGGGCCCCACTCCCTACTCACTTGGGGTAGGGGTGCTGCTTGTCTTTTTCCAGAAAATTCTGAATGGCCTATCTGGGTGCCTGAGTGTACTGTCCAGCTGTATCATGGACCGACGCCCAAAGAAGGAGCTGGTTCCACCTCTCAGGAAGCTGATGCTCAGTCCTGTGGCAATGATATCTTGGACACTGTGCCACAGTTGAGAGGGCTAGACCCAACCTGGGGTCGATTAAAGAAACTGAGCCAGAGTGCCCAGACATGGTAACCAAAACCTGGGAAAAGAAGGTCTGAGTAGGTGGAAAAAACTGAGCTGGAGACCATGCGAAAGAGCCATCCTACATCAAAATGGAAATGTAAGTATGTCATTAAAATGTCACCATGATGGGCTAAGAAGACAGCCAGTATTTTGGCACCAGCCCTCAGAGGTCAGTGAGGACCCAGGACATGAGGGAACCTTTTCAGCCACATCCTGCAACTCTGATGAGTACTATAAACTCCTGACCAAGGAGACTGTAGGACCACAGAAGATGTTGAGCTGCCATGTATAGTGTGGCTAAGGAAAGACACTGGGAGGAAAAAAGTCTCCTAAGCCTTCACAGAAAGCAATGTGGTCAAGCAATGACCATGACTCATCCAGACAGCTGACACTGACTGAAGAACTAGAGATGCCATGCATGGTTCCAAGGTAAACCCTGAGACTTAACTGGCCTTGATAATAGCAAAATTGATTAATATAGGTCTTACCTTTATTTGGTCTTGAACATTCCGTAGAAAAGTATAACCACAAGAGCTATAGAATAATTGCCAACTACACTAGTAACTGATCACTGCTCTGGGATAATGCACTGTATAGGATTAAATTGCTATATGCAGGAAACTAAATTTGGACTGAGAATCTTTGACCTAAATTGAGTAAGTTCATCTAGAATGAAGAGTTCAAAACAGAAAGATCTTTTTACAGAATCCTCCAAACACAGCTCCTCCAGCTCCAACTGACCACCTATCACTTATAACTACAAAAACAGAAAATGGGGAGATGTGGGGAGTGACTGAAGCAGGAGACCTATCACAGGTGCAGGCTGGAGCAAGGCCTTGGGAAGACAGAATGCTGAGGAGAGCCACACAGATAAGCTGCTCTAGTCTCAAGGGCACAGAGCCCCTGAGGCCAGCCGGGAGGGCAAGCGTTAGGCTGGGAGTTTATGTGACAGTCAGCCTCCTGAGCATTTGAGTAAACAATCTGGCTGCCTGGGCCCTCTTCCCCTCTCCTTCTCCTCCTCCTGCCTCTCCTTCCCGCCTCCTTCTCCCATCAGGAGAGAGGGCTCCATCTGGCCTCTGTTTTCTGGATTCTGACCCTTGTCCTTCCTCAATTCTGTCACTGTCCTCATGCTGAAAACTTCAAAGCTGCTCCGGACACAGCAGGTCTGGTTGGACCACACTTTGTCCTCAGTCCCCAGGAAACTTCCCATTGTGCTGTCCAGGACATGGCTGCCTCTGCCCTCAGCCATGCCAGGGCCATGTTGTTCCAGAACATGCACCTGTATCCTCAGGTCCCTCTCTACCAAGAGGAAGCAGCACATGTGTGCTGAAAACCAGACAGAAGTGCTCATGTGGCCTTGACCCATTCTTCCTGTCCAGCCAGCAGCTATAGAGTAGACCCAGGTATTCGATGGGGCTTAACTTGGCAACAAAAATGAGCAAGCCAGCATGCATGTGACTGTGGGGGGATTCAAAGCCCAGCAGAAGGGGACATCCAGTAAACTTGATTCTCCTGAAGTAAAAGAATTAGCAAAGCAGACCTGGTGTGAAAGCTCCTGTAGTGTCCAGTGCAAAGGAGGGCGGTACCAAGAGAGACAGGAGCAGCTGCTGGGTGCTTCACTGTGCTTCGCCTTGACCACTCCACCCCTACCACAGACATGTGTACGACGGTTAAGGTGGTCAGTATGATTGGTTGGGAGCCACCCAGCAAAGTGATACAGTTCCCTCCTGGGAGTGTCCAGGGGTCACAGAGGCCAGCTCTGAGCTCTGTGTGTGGTCCCTGGCCCTTCACCTCTGGTGCTGTTTCTGGTCCCAGCCATCACAGACTAAGCAGCTTTGCTCCTCTATGCCCTTCTGCCATGATGTTCTGCCTTTGGAGCAGTCATCCAGGGACTGAAGTTCCTGAACCAAATCAAACCTCTCCTGCTTTAAATTGTAGGTGTCAGATAATCTGTCTCAGCAATGGGAAGCTGACCAACACAACATTACACTGCAACTCAGTTGCTGTTAATTTTTAAAAAAAGTCCACCAGTGCCTCATATAAGTGACAGTAAGAGGAAGGTGATAGCCAGGAGCGAGGAGCCGGCGGCACAGGGCTGGCAGAGGGCAGAAGGTGGGTCTGGGGAAACAGCTTTGTGCAGTGAGCTGGCACTCCTCTCCATCTTAGTGTGACTAACTCCATGGTACTCTTTCCACACAGTGAGCTCCCCTGGGCCGGTGAGGATCAGGGTGGACTGCATAACATGCAGTGCCCAGTGCTGCTGCCGCTGCTGCTGAAGGCCCTGGCTCTGTGCCACTGGTATCTCATTCATCCTTGCCAGGGCTCCAATCCCTCATCAATATGAGAACAATGCTACGGTCACCAACGTGTTTCACAAGTGCCACCCTACTTTCCCCTCGCTGCAGCCCAACAAGAATCAGCAACAAAAACATATCATCAGGGATTATCAGAAATAAGCAACAGAAATTTCATTTTAAAAGGAACAGAAAGGAAACTTACCCAGAGTGCCAGAAGGTAGCAAAGACAGTAGTTCAGACCCAGAAGTCATTGTTTTATCCAGTGGGTTACCAAAAACTACATGAAATAAATAGCCATTGAGTTGGACAGGCACCAGAGGGTCTCTTGAGCATTAAGCACTGGTAGTCTCCATCACACAGCCCCACGTTTGGGAGACCACTTCCGCCTACCTTGGTCACTCTGGGCTGGGGGGAGGGGTCACTGGGTCCCTCTTAGAGACAGAGTGTGCTGGGTCTGAATCTAACAAAGCAGTCACCGACCACAGAAGACAAAAGAAAGGTGCAAGCAGAAAAGGAGCCAGGGATAAGCTCCTGGAGGGCAGCGCACTTCCCTCTACCGCTCCTGGCCAGGGGTGCCCCCCTCCTTCCCTCTGCATGTACTCTGCAGCCCCAGGGCTGAGGCCACAGAGCCTGACACCCGCCGACCTGCCCCCGTGGCCACCCCAGGCTCCATCACATCAGCGTCCATCTCGACCCATCTCAGTAGCAGAGGATACTGCCATCTGCCCAGTCACCCAGGGTCCTCCTCAGATGCTTCCCCACGTTGGGATGGGACCAGGCCTGGGACACCCCAGGGGCCAGCCTTGGTCTCCCCATCACTCCCCATCACCCATATCCTCTCGGTGTTTCCCCGCCCCTCCTCTCTCTCTCTTCCCTCACTCGGGTCACCCACTCAGGACCCTCCCAGGCAGTATGCAGCCCTCTAGAACTCCGCTTCCCCTAAGTAGGGCCCCTCCTGTCTGGCTCCCATTGCTTCTTGGACCACTGGCGGGGGCTCTTCATCGTTCCCTGCAGCTTGCAGTCCCGTTAGCAAGAACGCAGCCCCTACAGACCAGTGGGGTAGCTCACCAGGCCCCAGCAATCAACAGGTGAGCAGCACCACCCGCTGCCCAGTGACAGGTGTGGCCCTGACCTTCGCTGCTCTCGCAAGGTCAAAGAGCCTCACCCCAAGCCAGGGTGGTGGCTTGGGCTTCGGATCAGTTCCCACAATGCTGCGAGTTTCCCTGGGGCTGACCTGGCCTGACGCGGCCCTGTCAGGGCGGTGTCAACAGTAGCCATTCCTGGGACTGGGCATAAGAGCGCTATTGTTCTGCTCCTTCTGTGTCTTTTTCTTTCTGACAGTAGGAGGGCTTTTGTGGGTGAGCTGAAGTGACCAGCCCACTCATCTGCCGTCTGCCCTGCCTCCAGTGTCCCTTGGAGGGGCTGCACCTGGCTCTCACCCGGCCAGCACCCCATCCCCTCCTTGGCTGGGCCACCTTCGCAGCCTGAGGTCAGGGGCTGCGGGCCGTGGCCGCTGTGCACCTCTTGGCCAGAGCTCCTCCAGGGTTGGCTCTCCCATGCCCTCAGGGGCGATCGGCATCTGTGCGGGTGCACGCGAGTCCTGGCCTGGCCGCCTGTCTCGTTTCCCCGCCCCCGACGCCGATCTCCAAACACACTCCGAGGCCGGGGCGCAAACCGATGGCCTTGCCTGCCCAAGCGGGGACGCCGCGGCCGGCCCGGGAGGTCCGGGTCACGAAGATGGAAGGTATCGGAGACAGCAGCGCGCAGGGTGCGGGGAACTGGATGAGCGCTGTGTACTGCGGGGGCGGAGGCCGTGGTGACTGGGCGGGGCCCGGGGCGGGTGGGAGTGGTCAGTGGGCGTGGTCAGTGGGCGGGGCGGGGCCTCACTGCCTTAAAGGGCAGTGCGGGCGGGCCAGACTGCACTGGGCAGAGAACGCGAACCATGGAGAGAGCGCGGGACTACGCGGGAGCCTTGCTCAGGCGAGTGCCACCCGCCGCGGGGCTTGGGTCCACGGAGCGCTTAACGGTGGCGGGTGCGCAGGGCGAGGCGGACTAGCGTCCAGGCGACGCCCCTGGTGTGCGGGTTATGGGACAGAGCCAGCAGGGGTCCCGCTCTAGCCAGGCATCTGCTAGCCCGACACCGCGCGGAGGCCTCAGCACGCGGGTTCCCGAGCTCAGACCGGATTGGAAAGGGGCTGTGTAGACGCCTGGGTCCGACCCCCAACGGCCAGAAAGGTGGCCCTCGCCCGGTCCTTACACGCGCATGGACACACGCGCACACACGCACTTGCATCACAGTCCTGGCAGTGGGAAAGGTGAGAATCACGCTCCAGTGTGCTCGCCAACCTTGCTTTGTTTTGTACAAAGTTTGCTTCTAATCACGCAGCAGGCTGTCTCTGTGGTGTAGGCGACAGAGACGTCACAGCAGGGACTCCAGATGTCTACACAGAAATGGAGCCAAGGGTCACCTCTGGTGCAAGGCGCAGCTGGCCTCTCACCAGATTTCTTCATTCCACCTGTGACCAGGCCGCCGCTTTCAGCCGAGCATCCTCTGCTCCTGCTGCTGCTTCTGCAGCTCTCCCAAACTCTTAGCCTGGCGCCCCGGGCCAATTCTAGGCTCTCTGGACTTTTCTTCCTCTCTCCCAGCGCTGCCCACCCCAGCCCCACCATCTGAAGCTGTCTCACTGGCCACACCCACTCCCCTTCTCCAGGCCTCCACGAGGTCCAGGTCCGAGGAGAAGGTGGGCTGTACTCCCCAGCAGGAGACCTCAGGCCAGCTCTGGCTCCTTCAGAACCCGGCCCTGCCTGGCTGTTACCCCAGTCCACTCAAGCCAGTGTGCTGGGCACATCTCTAGGTCAAGTGTGACCTCGGAGTGCCGGCTGAGGAACCGCTGGCGAATCACAGCACAGGCGAAAGCTCTCCTGAGACACAGTTCCGGCCTGGCCCAGAAGTCACCTCTGTTGGGATGGCTGTGGCCACAGATCTTGGAGGATCTGCCTGCTTCTGGCTGAGCTGCTGCAGTTCTTAGGACTCTACCAGGAAGAAAACAGCCTGGCACAGTGAAGAGGAAGGCCTCACCCTCTTCCTCACCCGCTAAACCCTGTCCCAGCTGGAGAGCTGCAGGTCAGGCACTGCTGTCTGCTAATGACAGTCTGGCCAAACTCCTGCCTCCCGGGTGTGCTTACTTTAAACCGCCTGGTGTGGCATGCTACAGCTGCCGTTTGCTGGTAAACATCTACACTTTACCAGTGGAATACTAGTATATATGTTTTTAAAAATTTAGATATCGGGGCTGGGGATTTAGCTCAGCGGCATAAGTGCCTGCCTTGCAAGCAGGCAATCGTGGGTTCGATCCCCGGTACCGATAAAAAGGAAAAAGACAAAAAAAAAAAAAAAAAAAAAAATTTAGATACTCGTAGTTAGGCATGGCAGCACACTCTGGGCGGCTGAAGCAGGAAAATCGTAAATTTGAACCCAGCTTGGAAAGCTTAGTAACTTAATCAGGCACTGTCTCAAAAATTAAAAACAAAGTTTTTAAAAAGAACTAGGGAGCCAGGTATGCTGGTGCATGTCTATAATACCAGCACTTGGGAGGCTGAGGCAAGAAGATCACTGTGGGTTCAAGGCCACCCTGGACTACATAAGTGAATTCAAGGCACAATGAGGTGTGGAGTTCTCTAAAAGCAAATCCCCAGCCCTGAACAGGACAGGCACCAGATGGGTCCCCACTGCAGGAGCTGACAGTGCTCCCCACACCCGTCCTCCCTAAAGTGCACGATGCCCTCCTTAGCATTCATTGTCCTCCTGGTATCGGAGCCTAAGGGTCCTAGTGGCTGTCCTTGAGGACGCTGAGGACCCCTATATTTCTCTTGCAGAGACCTCGCTTCTGGGCCTGCCCCACCCACCCACCCCGCAGCACCCCAGAATGCACCTAGGGTGTCCGGCAGCCTGCAGAGAGAACATCTGGGTGGTGTGGGGCTCCATTACCTTCCTGCCAGTCTGCAGCCGGTAACTGTCACAGCCACACACTCTGGGACGCCCTGTGTTCCTGGGAGTGCAGTCTGTGCCCTGCTTTCAGGGATTTGGCCTGGCACAAGTTTCAGGAGCCCCGTGACCCCTGGCCTGTGATGCACCTAGGCTTCCCCGACACGACCTCTTTCCTTGTTATTTTTCCTCTTAGACAGTTGTCTCCCTTCCTGCTCCAAGGGCTGTCGCAGCTGCTTTCCCAGAAGTAGGAGTGCAGCCGTCCCCCGAGGTGGTAGAATTAGTCCGCCTGTCTCCTGCAGTGCTGGGCTCGAACAGGGCCTCAGCAAGCACTGAAAACAAGCTTCCCTGAGCTACACGCTCAGCCCCTCCGTGCTCCTGTTTAACTTTGCCAGATTAAAATATTTGTGAGTTGTTGGAGGAGCAACTGCTCGTCCTGAGCATCATGCCTGTAGCCAGGGATATGAGCTTCTCTCGCTTCCTGGTGGCTGGAGGGAGCAGACGGCACAGTCCCATTCATTCTGCACCATGCTCACAGCCATCCGGTGGGCAGACCCCATCAGGTCCATCCAACTCTGGCGTCACTGGCCACCATGAAGTGCTGGTTCTGTGCCAGCCCAGAGCGGCTGGCCTGGCCCTCACGTCCGTGGTGCTCATTTGTCTTCCCTAGCACAGGGACCTGACCTGTGCTGGCACCTCGAAGAGAGGCCGTCGAGCATCCTTTCTCATTGGTGGCCTCTTGAGGGCGCTGTCAGCAGAGTCTCATCACTCAGGTGAGGACAGAGGGTGCCCTGGGCTCCTCATGTGCCAGGTCCTGGAGCCCCAGGCCAAGAAGGCATGTGCCCTGTCTCAGGCAGGAGACCCCCTCCTCCCTGATGGCACTGTACCCCGACCTGAGCCTGCTCTGATGCCCTGCCTGGACTTGAGTTCTCCCAGGGCTGTGTTTTTGTCTGGAGCCATTTCACTCAGCCCGGTGCTGGGAGAGTAGGAGACCTCAGGTGCCTGGAGCCAGAGGCAGAGCAGTGACTTACTACTGGGTGAGAAGGTGGCTCTCTGTCTCTCTCTCTGGGAGCCAGGGCCCCACGTGGCAACCCAGGCCATGAGGAGGGAGCAGGCATTGCACCCTCCTCCCTGCCTCCGTTGTCCTCTCCAGGGAGCTACAAGGTCTGACCTCCCAGGCCTGCGGGGCATAGGGCCCCGTAGACACTGGCAGCTGAGCTTCCGGTGGGTCAGGCTGGAGACAAAGCCAGGGTTCTTGTGGGCAGCCTCATGTGCTTAGTGCCTGGTGTCCTCCCCCCAGGTCAGTGGGGACAGGGCTCATGTGACTTGCCCGTGTCCCACAGTGACGTGAGAACCTCTTGATCACCCCATTGTGTAACAGGAACCTGGAACAATGGCTCCAGACCGACCAGGGCCAAGGTTCAAAAGCTGGTGCGGGGTGCACTGCCACCTGGCCCGGCTCTGTGGCCCAGCTTACGTGGTCTCTGGTCAAAGCGCCCAGGCCACCATGACGTCTGGGCAGGATGAGATCTGGCCCGGCACATCCTCCTTGGTACTGCCTCCCCGGGGCCAGGTTAGGGGGTCACTTGGTCCACCTGGTGGAGAGGCCTTGGGAGTGGGCTCAGGAGCCGCTGAGATGCCACAGCAGAGGTGGGTGATGGGAGCAGAGCAAAAGCTCTGGCTCCAGACAGCGGTGGTGTTGGCCGCTCTGGCCATGACTTAGTCCAGCCCCGGGTGAGGATTACAGTCGCCTAACAAAGACACTTCTGTCGGGCCAGCTCCACCCCAGCTGGGAGAGCAGACAGGTGACAGTCCGCGTGCACATGTGTGCGTGGCATTGGGGTGACACAGCGGTCATTCAGGGCTTCCCGAAGACGACACCCTGCAGCCCCCCCCCCCCCAGCAGCATAAGCACCTGTCTGGCAGCAGTGCTGTGCTCTCAGCCTTTGTCTCATCCTTTGCACCTCACCAGGAACGTCCGAGAGCAGGGCCAGCATCCTGGTCATGCACACGTCGGGGTCTCTGAGCACAGCTCTGGGCGCTGAGCAGGAGCTGGAACACAGCTACTTGCTACGCACATCGTTGGAGTCAGGTCTTTGTGAGCAGCTCATGGGCTGTCTCCCCTCATTCCCCATTTGACAACTTTTTCATGGTTGCTAGGTAACCAAACTTTAGTGATCAAAGGTTGGCGTTTTCCTCAGAAAATTGTCTTTTGGTTTTTTGCTACAGTTCTGTCTGTCTCTATCTCTGTCTGTCTCTGTCTCTCTCTGTTTTACACAGGGTCTCCTAAATTGCCCAGGCTGAGCTGGAACTTGTGACCCTTCTGCCTCAGCCTCGTAGATGCTAGAATTACAAGCATGTGCCACCACACCCAGCTAGTCAGTGCTTTCAGTGGAGAAAGTTTAAATTCACAGATCTGCTTCAGTGGGTGTCTATGTCTTATTCTTTGCTTGGAAAAATGGAAATTAAGACTTTTAATGGACCTGTCTTGATAAAAGACATGAAGGATTTGATATATTGAGCAGTTATAATCTCTAAGATTACCCACATTTAGATATACCAACATGATCCTACCTGCGTGCTATTTTAAAGGAATAATTCTAGTTTAGTGACAGAATCACAGGGTTTTTTAATTTTTTGGTTTTGGGGGGGGTTGGTACTGGGGATTGAACTCACAACCTTGCACTTTCCAGACAGGTGCTTATGCTGCTGAGCTAAATCCCCAGCCCGAGAATCACAGCTTTAATTCTCTTGAAAATGTGGAACTCATCCTGAAGCGCAGTGGGTGGGGGCCTAACCTTCCCTCTCCTCCCTATGATGTCATAGCAGTGGTCCTGGCAGACCTGGGTTTTCATAGTTCATTCAGGAACCTCGGTGTGTGGCCAAGGTGCCACACCGTCCTCCCTGGCCTGTCTTCAGGGTACACCTGTGTGCAGACCCAATTCTCTGGATGTTCCTTAACAAAACAGGAACCTCGTGTATATGCCATTGTTAGTAATTCCGCCTGCATGCCAGCTCTTCCAGAATCAAATATTAAGTCTGCATCATGGCTGAACCTTTCACGCCTCTGCTTAAAGACCCGTATTCTAAAATAATGTCCAAGAGTTTCTATTCTGTGTTCTTACCTCCATGTCCAGGCCCCTGACCTTCGTGGGCTCCCAGACCAGGAAGGTCCTTCTCACGCCCCTCATGCAGCCCCCGCGCCCCTTCCGAGTCTCCAACTCCGACCGCAGCAGCCGCCGCGGGGTGATGGCCAGCAGCCTGCAGGAGCTGCTCACCAAGGTACTGCTGCCTGCACCTGGGAGGGTCAAACCTGCCCCACCCCCACTCTCCTCTGCCCCTGCCCGCCACATCCCTCCCCAGCTTGCAGGGTCCGGTCTAAGGTGGACACTTCTCAGCAGCTGAGGGAGTCTAAAGCAGGGAACCACGCTCTACTGGTGCACCCCAAAACACGGTGACAGAGATGAGGAGCCAGCCATCAGCCAATGGTGTTGCCGGTCGTTTTGACAAGGACACAGGGACTCAAGACATCTGCTTTTGGTTGTGCTGGTGGTGATTTCAGTGTACACTGCTATTTAAGTTTTGAAACGTGCCTCAGTAAAATACATTGCCATGGACTTGCCTCAGCATACTCCCCGTCTTCAGACCCTCACCCCTCACCTGCTGCTTCTTGAAGCAGCTCTGGAAGCCTCTGTGAGTGTTCTTACAAGGCTCGCACCTTACAAAAACACAGTGAATGCTGCTGCCAAGTGCCATCCAACACAAAGGCAGCTCGGAAAAACATTGCAGAGTGTCCTTGTCCACTGTGTTCATGGACCTGGTCTGGTGCGCCTTCCAGCTCTTCCCCAAAGTCAGCATGACCGTGACAGGGAAATGCTTTGAATGGATAACGCAGCTAAAGACCCTCAGGAAAGAGGACTCCAGAGCTGCTGCAGACAGTGGCAGGGATGCTGAGATGAGGATGTTCAGACTGAGGGGGGATCTCAAGGGTGTGAATGCCAGCATACTTATTACTGTAATAACCTTTCAAAACCTTTAAATATGTGTCCTGTTTCCTGTCATAGCTCCTGAAGGCCAGGGTAGTTTAACTCTTACTAATCTGCCACAGTGTCAAGGCACCAAACACAGAAGAACCAGACTCCCCGAGAGGCAGGACTTAGCCGGCCGTTGATGGGAAAAACCCCCGCATCGCAGGGCTGTCCTGTGTGGGTGCTGCCCTAAAGACACGTCTCTTAGGAAGCGGGTCCCTTAAACATCTAACTCGCTTTCTGTTTAGAAAAGACCCTGAATGTGAACTCCTCTGCTGTTTCCCAGCCAGTCCCATGCCCGAGTTCTGTAGCCTGGTAATCGCCTGTGGGGGCCCAGGGAGCCCTTCCTCATGCTGCTTCTCTGCACACTTTCCCCAGGCCCTGGACGCACTGGTCATCACAGCGGGGCTGGTCACACTGGTGCTGGAGGAGGATGGCACCGTGGTGGACACGGAAGAATTCTTCCAGACCCTGGGTGACAACACACACTTCATGCTCCTGGAGGATGGGCAGAAATGGACACCGGTGAGTGGCTGCCATGACCTCGACGGCGCAGGAAGGGGCACCCGGGGCCCCCGAGTGGCTGACCTGGTCCTGGACGGGGCAGCTCTGTACCCTCCCTGTCACATGGCCCAGCGCTTCCCTGGGGATCCCTAGACAGTACAGTGTCCCTGAGGACCGGCAGCTCAAGGCACAGGTGATGGCCAGGCAGCAGCAGACCTGACCAGTGGCCACTCACTGTCCTCATTCTTAGACAGGATGTGCTGGCTGGGCCCTGGCCAGACACGGACGTGAACCTGCCTGTGAGCATCCACCAGGGGCATCAGCCCATGTCTCCCAGTCTGGGTCCTGGTCCTGGTTCTGATCCTGCTCCAGCATCTCCAGACCCTGTCAAGGGTCCCAGACACAGGGACCCAGGCTGTGACCTCTGAGAACATTCTGGAACCTGATGTAGCAGTGCAGGTAGAGCTTCAGCAAAGCAGGAAGGAACGCAGCCTGGAGAAGCTAGAGCTCATACATCCCAAAACCGCCCCACCATAAAACACCCAGCAATGCAGAGCACTGGAGCAGCGCCCTCCACCCCCAGGTTTCCCTCAGGGAAGGGCAGCGCGCAGAGCGATGTACATCTGCAGTCCGCCACTGAGAGGCTGAGCAAGAGGCTCACTTGAGCCCAGCAGGTCCTGCCTGAGCAAGGAAGACAGGACCAGGGGTAGAGCTCATGGCCCAGTGGGCATAGAGCCTGCCTGGCTAGTGTAAGGTCCTGAGTTCAATTTCCAGTACCAAAGACAGACAGACAGAGATGGATGACCCACATTTCTGAAAGCAGAGAGAGAAGAAGCCTGACAGTGGCAGTTCGCTGAAGGCTTCTCTCACCCACGGACCCCACTGGCCCGTGAACGAGGATGCCCTGTGACACGCTGGAGGGGTCTTACAAGGCATGAGTGAGTGTTCTTACAAGACGTGATCAAAAACACAGTGAACACTGCTGCCGAGCACCATCCAACACAAAGGCAGCTTGGAAAAACATCACAGCGTCCTTGTCCACTGTGTTCGTGGATCTGGTCACAAGGTCACGAGGGGTGGGCACACTGCCCTGCTGGGGCTGAGGACCTGCCTCTGACCCTGCAGGGGTGAAGAGCAGCTTCACAGTGAGTACTAGGCCCCTGCAAGGACCCCAGTGGCAGGAGCAGTGACGTCTAGCTGGTCGTGGGCTCTGCTATGCTTATTTAAAATGTTCCAAGATAACCCACAGTAAGGAGGAGCAGGGGTAACCAAAATGGTCAGGCAGACTTAAAGCAGAGAGACAGGCGTAACAAACCAAGACTCAGGAGGCCTGAGCTGAGGGCGATTTCTGAAACACCTGGAGGATCTGTCCAATCAGAGGATCAGTTGTGATGGGAGATCCAGTGCACCTAGCAAGAGAGAGCCGGCAGGTCCAATAGGGAGAACTGGGGGACTCTGCTGTCCGTCCCGTGACCCCAGACTGCTTGCGGGTGTTTGCAGGATCAGCCACAGTCCCCAGGGTGTCCTGCCCCCTCCCAAGACCTGTGGTCACTTCCTCCCTGGCGTGGGCCCTCGGCGAGGAGCCACGCATAGGTGTCAGTGTCCCTGGCCCAGCCAGCAGCGAGCGCCTGGGCCTCCCAGCACCAGGTGCAGGGAAGCAGATAGGGATCACCCTGCCCCTCAGGGCCCCTGGGTGTGGACACAACGGCTGCAAGCCCCTCCACCCTGCAGCTTGTCCTGCAGCAGAAGGACACTGGTGCCCGTTGGTGACAGGGCTGAATGACAGGAAGCTGGGCCTGGGACCAAGGTTGGGGTCAGGGCTGGGGACAGCGGAGCAGGCGCGGGCTGGAGGTTGCAGCTGCTGCGCTCTCGGGGCAGGAGGTGCCTGGCTGCGGGCCCACACTCGGCCACCAGGTGGCGCCCTGGCCGGGTCGCAGGGCGAGCTGTGATCTCCGTGGGCGCCTCTGCAGAACCAAGAGCTGGGGGAGCCGCTGGGGGGCGCTGGGGCTCCACGGGTTAGGATGCATGGGAAAGCGCTGTGCAGGCGAGGGAGGGAAAGGCTTCTGCAGGTCCTCGCCCTCCAGCGGGGTGTCGCGTCCCTGGGCCCCAGGTCCCATGTGGACTGTGCCATAGCTTACGCCCTGCGCAGGCAGGCGTACCCTGAGCTCCTGGCTAGATGTGGCCGCAGGGAGAGCGAGGTCTGACAAGACTGGGGCATAGGTCACCGTTAGCAAAGGCACACGCCCCAGCCACATCACATGACAGCCTCGGGTGCGAAGCCCCTGCTAACACTCGCTCTGTCCCACAGGCCAGCAGGTACACGCCGGCCCGGCAACCACAGCGGTCGGGCATCGCCAGAGTCACCCTGGACCTATACCGGCTGCACCCCAAGGATTTCCTGGGCTGCCTCAACGTCAAGGCCACGCTGTACGAGATGTACTCCGTGTCCTACGACATCCGCTGCACCGGGTTCAAGGCTGTGCTGAGGTAACCACCAGTGGGATGCAAGCCTGGTGGGCAGACAGCCATCCCTGCTGTCCCCGGCGGGGCGCCCTCAGGTCAGCATGAGCCCCACAGGTTGTCCCTTGAGCATCTGTGCAGACCGAGCAGGGCCCAGGGCCCATGGGAGACCAAACAGAGGCAGGACCATTCACTACCAGAGAGTCACCGCTGGGTAACAGGGAGGAAGGGAAGCCAGGTCACCTGACACTGGCAGGCCGAAGGCCATGGTCATGGTCAAAGACCACAGGCCACAGTCACAGGTCATGGTCACAGTCACAGGTCAGGGCACACGAAGTTGCCCCGGGCGACACCCAGCCGTGACAAGGTAGACCGGAGCTCCGAGCCCTGGAAGCTGAGCATGGTGACCTGCATGCTGGGTCACCACCCACCTGGTGACGGTGATGCCACCTGGGCTCATGCCACCCCCAGTGTGGGAACCCCTGCGTCCCTCACTGGACTGGAATGTTAGGAAGCCAGCACCCATGGGCTCTGGGCCCTGCTTGGTCTGCACAGATGCTCAAGGGACGTAGCCCACAGGAGGACAGCGTCCTGATGGCCTCAGGTCTCAAGTTCCAGTCCGTGGCCAGGCAGCCCCACGTGGGTCTGTGGCAGGTGGCACAGCAAGATGGAGTAAGCACCAAGGATACCACTCATTATCTCAGCAGCCTGGACGTAGGAGCCAAGGTCCCACTGTCACCTGATGGGGTCCCCCTCAGCAGCGCCCCTGGCTGGGCTCTGACACAGTGGCCCATGTGCGCTAGAGCTGTGTTCAAGGACCCTATCCTGGGACCCTACTGCAGCCAGGGGCCGGGTGCTACTGTCCCCACCCTGCAGCCGCACCCTGGGGAGCCCACAGTGGCCGTGTGTGGAGCCACGGTGGATAGCAGCAGCTACAACCCCTGTGGCCAGGAGAGCCTGCTGCCTAGCAGGTCTCCAGGACCAGCCCGAGGCACAGGTCGTCCCAGGGCCCAGTTCCCCTGTGCCAATGGGGACAGCTCAGAGGACAGAGGCTCTGGGATAGCACCTGCTCTCCGTGCAAGGCCCACCAAGCCCACAGCTGCTCCTGACCAGTGGGCCCTCACGGGCTGTGGTCACTGTTGTGGTGCTGGGGCCTGGATGCCTGGACATTGAGCCCAGGCCTCACACACACAGGCAGGACTGCACCGCTGGGCTTCCTCTCGGCCTTTGAATTTTATTTTGAGGCGAATCTGATTAAATAGCCCAGGCAGGGCTCAGCCTTTTGGTCCTCCTGCATCAGCCTCTCTGGGGGATGAAACCAGGCGTGGACCAAGCTCCTCACCTCCTGCAGGACCAGCCCATGGTGGAATCCCGGGTGCAGGCAGGACCCCCCCCCCAGGGCACAGCCCTGCTGTCCTGTGCACCCCGCTGCCCTCTCAGCCTTGGCCGGGGCTCCAGGTGGAAAATGAGAACTTCGGACCAGGGGTGCACTCTCGGAGTCAGTGGGCCCTGGCACTCAGCTGCGCGGGGCAGGGCTGCCTTCCCGGAGCCTCGGCGCCCAGGTCACCGGGCCACGGGGCTCCCCTCCTGGTTGTGGCCGTGCGCTCCCAGGCGCAGGCCTGACGCGCTTCCATCTGCTGCAGGAGCTTGCTGCGCCTGCTGTCCTATGCCGCCCAGGTGACCGGCCAGCTCCTCCTCTACTCCGGGGCCTATGTGCTGCGTGTGCTGGATGACTCAGAGAAGCCGCCATCCCTCAAGGCGCGGCCGTGGAGCTGGTTCCGATCCACGCATGGATAGGAGCACAGCCCAGACGCCCCCTGCTACGGCTGCCATGGCTGCCACGGCTCTGCGGGGAACAGGCAGGTTGGGGTGAGGCTGTACCACCCGTCCTGCGCTCAGTAATAAAGCGCCTGTGAACCCTCCGGGTTGTGCTGCTCCTGTGCTGCCCACCTGAGCTGGGGCACGGGGGTGGGGGTGCGTAGAAGCTGGGCGGCCCTCTGAGCCCCGTGCGGAGTTTGAGTGCTCGCCTTAGTGGCCATGGAATTAAACCCCGGACCTCAGCGTCCTCATCCTCGGTCTCTTCCTGTTTGTCACGTCCCTCAGCCCGTGTCTGGGCACCTCACGGCCGCGGGCCGTGTCTGTGGGGGGCTGGTGCCCGGGCACGGCGCATATCAGCTCTTTTCACGCCCAGACCCCATAGGCCCTTCCCCATTTGAAAAAGATCTTCCCTTTTCTGTCATCTTTTATGTGACTGCTTATATTCTCGGTTTCTCTTAGAAACTGTGTGATATTTAAGCTTAGGTACATGATTAGGGTCTCAAGATGTACCCATTCTCCTGCAAACGACTGGAGCACACCTATTATGCCACAGTGGTGCTCTAATGTGTATAAACACCATGCTTTCTTTATCCATCTGGCTGTTGATGGACATATAGGCTGCTTCCAAGGTTTAGCTAGGAGGAATTATGCTGCCATATGTATGTTAGTTTTTATTTGAGACAGAGTCTAAGTTGTTAAGTTGCCCAAGCTGGACTTGATTTTGTGATCCTCCTGCCTCAGCCTCCCAGGGTCTGGGAGTACAGGTGTGCATCACCACACCTGGTTTAAAGGCAGGGTTTTGTTTTTGTTTTTGTTTTTTTTTTTTAAGAGCTTAAAGGGACCACAAAGCTCAAGGGCCTGGGCTTGCCATCCTTGGAGTATGACCTTTGGCCTTGCTACTTAGACCTGGACAGAACACTGGGTGCCCAGGGCACTGTCACGAGCAGGGAGCGGACACTCAGCAGACCATGGAGGACCCACTTCTCCGTCCTTCCCCCAGTGAACACAGGGTCAGCTCCAGCCCTGGAATGGCCAAGGTGCTGCTCCAGAGCAGAGGGAGTGGACCCCAGGGACAGCGCTCCATTTACGATGCCTGATCTCCTCACAGGCCAGGTCCCATATGTGTATAATCCCAGCACTTTGGAGGCTGAGGCAGGAGGATCATAAGGTCCTCACAGCTGGGCCTTGTTTTGGACATAACAACAGCTCAAGCCCCTGAAGGGGACTGCCCTTGCACGGTCCTTTTCCCATCGCTGCAAAAGCTCGTGGCCATCCTCTCCAGCCCTGGCTCTGGCAGGGACATGGGCCTGGAGGCCTAGCCTGGCCTCCTGCTGCCTGCTGGGGCTCGAGGGGAGCCCATCCTCCAAGAAGCAGCTGCCGAAGGAGCTGTGCTTCCTAGAAAGGAATTTCCCTGCATCACCTGCCCTCCTGGTGGAAGCCCAGGCTGCAGGAGGGAGGGTGAGAGGCAACTGGGAGGTGGCAGGCCCCCTGGGCGAGGCAGGCCAGCAGGAGCCTACCTGCGGTGATACCCTCCTCCGGAGAGCCAGCCCGTGGCCAGGTGGGGCCCATTCCTGCTCTGTCCCATTCAACCAAAGGCTCAGACCACCCTCAGGGTCCCTCTCAGTGCTGCATCCCCATGGGGCCACATGTGCTGTGTCCTCAGGGCTCAGAGTCACAGCTCAGAAGAGATTGGTACACGGCCCTGCTGCTGCTCTGGGGTCCCTATGCCCTGTCCCCCCAGCCCTATCCAGCAGGGAAGCAGGTGCTCTGCGTGCCCCCGGGGACCCAAAGAGCATGGCCTGGAGTCCCATCAGGCCCTGGGCCTTCATGGGCCCGCCAGACTGCAGCTCACATGGCCATGCTGGACCCTCGTCTCTGACTGCGCCCCCTCCTCAGCTGTGGGCAAGGCCCAGGGGTGGACACCACGTCTTCTGCTGCCCTCACCCTCTGTACTGACGCGTGGCCTCTCAGTATCAGGCCTCCCTTCCTGGGCGCCCTTTTCCCATCCTGTTCTCCACTCCTGGAGTCCAGCTCTCCCTCCTCCTGGGAGAAGCAGGGGCCCCCAGGCAGCTGGGATGGAGGGGCCTGCACTGGCCCACAGAACGGCTGGACAGGCCCTGACCTCTTGATGTCCTCCAAGCTGCTCATGTAGAGGAGCTACCACCTTCACTCGGGAGCACCGGGATGCCCAGGGGACAGTGTGTGGGCCACCTCCAGTTTGAAGCCCCAGACTTGGGCAAAGTGCCCTCCTGTGCTGTGGGGATGGACAATGGAGCCGTCCCTACATCACCCTCACTGAGAGTCCCCTGCACCTTGTGCTCAGGGCTCACTGTGTGCCCAGCAACCCCCCGAGACGCCCACCAGCCGCACTGCCTTGCACGAGGCCTCAGAACGCTACCAAGGCCAGGTCCTCCCTGGCCAGATCACAGCAGGGACGCCCTGCCACTCCACGGCCAGGCCAGTGCCAGGTGCCCCATGACACTGTGACATGGCAAGGAGGACACATGCAGGCCCCATCCTAGGCTCCGTAAGGACAAATTTCCCAGGTGACAGCTATGCCTGATGCAGCTCAGTGCCCTCGTCAGCTCTTGGGGATAGCACCTCTCTCATTGCTAGGAGGGGATGCCATGGCCTCCGATGGCCTGGCCTGGGCCCAGAACAGAGCTAGCATGATGAGCAGCTGGACCTCTGGGTGGCCAGGGACACCACTGAACCTGCCTTGTGTAGGCACGTAACCCGGGAGGACCAGGCCGAGCTGACCACTGTGTGGGCTGCCAGGAGAGGGTGCCCAGCCTTTGTTCTGCCTGCCATAGTGTCCCCAAGACCAGCAGCAGGTGTGAGCAGGGGCCCCATGTCTCCCTTCAAGAAGGCAGCGTGGAGCAGGGCCCCAATGAGCTGAGTGAGCCCAGAGCCCAGGGATTTAAAAAGCCAAACAATCAAAATATGCTATCTTAGCCCTAAAAGTTTTAAAGTAACATCCTGGGGTTGCTGGGCGTGAACTTTCCTTGAGGGCTCTGCCTCACACCAACACAGGTCCCCTGCTGTCTTGCTGGCCGCAGCAAGACAGGGCCCTGGGGGCTGAGGACAACAGAGACCTGTTCCTCCTTTGCCAAGCGCAGGTCATGCGGCAGCTGCCCCCAGCATCACAAGGACTGAACAAAAGGAGAGATTTTCCTCTCTGTGGTGCTGAGCGTGGACCCAGGGCCTGGCGCGTGCTAGACAGGTGCTCTGCTGCTGAGTGCATCTTGCCGAGGACATTAGCACCAACACACAGCTCAGGTTCTGAACCGACTGAGTGAGAGCAAGGACCACAGGCAGGAGGCAGCCCCGGGCTCCTGGCACAGCCCGGGGCTGCCTCCTGCACCCTCCACCTCGCCAGTCTTCACGACCCACGAAGGGGCTCCATCTTCCTCTGCAGTTCCGGAAGGGAAGAGAGCCTGGGAAGGGGCAGGGCCACCCCTGCCCCCTCCTCTGGGAGAACCCTTGAGCACTGTTGGTTTGGCCATTGTTCACGAAAGTCCCTAAAGCTGCTATATGAACTGTATCCTAATAGGGGAGGCTGAAGCAGGACTTCTGGATCCCAGAAGTTCAAAGTCAGTCTGCACAACTCAGTGAGACCCTGTCTTCAAAAGAAGCAAAAAACTTTAAATTCTTTTTTTTTTTTTTTGCCTTTTTCCTTTTTATCAGTACCAGGGATCGAACTCACGACTGCCTGCTTGCAAGGGAGGCACTTATGCTGCTGAGCTAAATCCCCAGCCCCTAAAATTTTAAATACAATTTAAATTACAGAATACTTCCATGGCTTGAAAATGATTATGTTAAAAAAAAAAAAAAAAAAAAAAAAAAGGCCCGCCTGTCCCACCTGAGGAGTACACCACAGCTGCCAGCCGGAAGTAGAGAGCACAGCCCAGTGGAAGGATCCCGTTCCAGCCCCACCCACCGCCTCTCCCGCCTGAGGAGCACACCACAGGTGACCTCCAGAAGGAGGGATGGGGCCTTGCCTGTGACCTTCTTTTGACCTGGAGAGCACCAGCACTACTGCCACTGCCTGGAGGAGGGAGCAGCCCTGCTAAGGAGGTTTGAGGCCTACCTATGCCATAGGGGGACCCTCTCTCAGCCTGGGGAGCTTTGCCATCCAAAGAGCTGGATGACTACACAACATCCAATCCCCAGGAGAGTATGAGATCCTTGCTCTACGGGGTTGGGGGCTCACTGGGCTTGCAGCCACACTAGATTGGGCTTAGCAGGATTTGGGCCTGCCTGGACCACACCAGGTGGCCTTCTTTCCCTCAGGGGAGCTTTGCTACCAGAGGGGGAAACTGCAGCTTGAGGAGGCTTTAGGTCTACCTGAGAGGAGCCTGGCAACCCTCTTTTAATCCAGGGGCTCTGCTGCCCAAGGAGGGAGCTACACTACCAGAGGAGTCCCAAGAGCCCAGGACATAAGGGACAATTTCCAACACGCCCAAGGGAAACAATGGAACAACACTTGAAACACAGAAATATAGGAAAATGACAAAACGAAACACCAAAATGCAATCTCAAACATCCAGCCCATCCCAAGAAAGCCTAGGAGCCATGTACATAGAAGAAAATACATGCCATATGCCTGAAATGATAGTAACTGAAATAAAGAAGCAACTCCAGAAAGCTTTAAAGGAATTCAAACTAGAAATAATCTCTCAGGTAAAAGAAGAAATGATAAAAGAAATGAAGGAGATGCTGAATATATCTAAACACACAGCTAAAAAATTGGAGGAACTTAAACAAAAAGATACAATCCCTGGATGAACAATATAAGAAACAAACAATATATAAAACAGATGCAAAGAGATATACAGAAAATCAAAAATTCAATTGAAAGTTGTAAAAACCACCTCAATGAATGTGAAGATAGAATTTCAGACCTTGAAGACAAGATTGCAGCCAGTGAACAGGAAAGGAAAGATCTTTTAAAAATAACAAGAAATCAGGAAATAACAATTCAACACCTGCAACATGACACAAAGAAAAACAACATAAGCTTGATAGGGATAAATGAAAAAGAAGGGAACAACATAAAGGGTGTCAAGAGGATATTTAGAGAAGTAATAGCTGAAAATTTCCC